TTTTTTTTTTTTTTTTTTTTTTTTTTGGTACCGGGGATCAAACTCGGGTCCTTGTGCTTGTGAAGCAGGTGCCAGAACCACTAAGCTAAATCCCTGGCCCACTAATATCTATTTCTAAGCAAGTAGAAATAGAGTCTATCTTTCCCTCTCCCTGTAATTCCTTGGATAATATAATTCTGCTTTACAGAATTGCTTGTTTAGTTGATAGCTTACTAGAGTCACCAATAGTACAGCATTTACTGCATATAGCTATCCCTGGGTAAGTCACAGGTCTAAACTGATTGGGTGTGGTAAACAGTACACTATTCAATACAATAGAAAAGTTAAGGTACAAAAAAATTGACTAACTTTTTAAATTCAAAAAAAGAATACAAAAGTTGTCAGACCAGAAGTAGTAGTGTACACATGTAATTCCAGCTCTTTAGGAGGCTGAGGTAGGAGGATGAAGAGTGTAATAAGCCCTGCCTGGGCAGCTTAGGGATTTAGTGATAACCTGTCTTAAAATGCAAAATACAAAATTCAGAGAAAGGACTGAAAATGTAACATTACGTGAAGACCTTCAATTCCCAGTAAAACACACACACACACACACACACACACACACACACACACACATCACTGAGCATGATAGAATTTCAGGGAAAGCTATAGGGAGATGAATTTTAAGCCAGAAAACTTTTATACATGGATTAGTGATAGCGGAGAAGAGGGTCCTGGCATTCACCAAGACAGAGAGGAAGGAGTTAGGCACTCAAAAATCTCTTCAGAAAATCTGCCTGTGGTAGTACCATACACAAACACACTGAACACACACCTTTGCCCTTCCAAACCTCGTGTTTGGAAGAACAAGCCAATTGATGAATTTGATAGATGTTGTAGAGTGTCTACTGCAGATTCTGTGGTCTCAGATCAGGCATGACCTTTGCAAGCTTTCCCAGAAGACTGGGGTTGAATATCAGAAATCCTGTGAACCCCAGGGGAGCTCTCAAGCCTCAGAGGAGAATTGTGGGTCTTAGAAACTGTCAATGGACCTGAAGAGTAAATGACAATTCCCTAAACTGTTGTTTGGGGAATGTTTCCTATCATGATACACAAGTTATCTCAGGGTTATCAGAAATCTGATTTCCAGTAGCAACTAAAGAGGTTTTAAAACAGCCCTCCTGTGGCCACAGGATGGGAAAGAATATGGTGTCAGAGAAACCACACACTGAGAAAACTCAGGTTAGAAATTTGAAGAGCCAAAGCATCTGCTCCAGTACCATCATTACCAGGCAAAGATCAGAACTTCCTGGCTTTTTTCTGTGTGGTCATGAATTCTGCCCAGATTTTTTACATCTTTGTATCATCCCAACCTGGATTATTGGCTACTAGCAGGCAAAATTTATGCTGACACATCCGAATGCTGTGACTTTCAGGAACTTCCATATTTGTTTCCTTCCTGGAAAGTTATTTGAAGAGTATTATCGCTTGTTGGTGCTCTTGTTTCCTTTTGGGAATGTCAGATCTTCCACAATTTCAGAGAATAAAACAGCTTACTTACTTACTAGTCAAGGTTTTCAAAGAAACAGGACAGAGACAGAGAGACATTAAGATTTATTTATTATGGAAATTGGCTCCTGTAATTAGGGAAAGCAAAAAAGTCCCCTGGTCTACCATCTGCAAGTTAGAGAACTGGGAAAGTCAGTGGTATAATTCAGTCCAAGTCCAGAAGCTTGAGAACCAAGCACATTAATGTCCAAGGTCAGAAGAGATGGCTGTCTCGGCTTAAAAGAGAGTGACTTCTCCATTGCTCTGCTTTTTGTTCTATCCAAGCTCTCACTGCAGTAGATGTTGCTCACCCTATTTGGGGAGGGTAATCTGCTTTACTCAGTTTGTAAATTAAAATGCTAATGTCTTCTGGAAACAACCTTACAGGCATACCTAGAAATACTAGGTCTCTGGGCATCTTGTGGCCCAGTCAGGTTAACACATAAATTTAGCTGTCATATTTCCACTTGTTCCCTGGGATGGGTTGTCTATACTATTACCAATGCTGTTATCCTGTTGTTTATACCATAACCACCACCACCCACTCCCTACCCCCTGCCTTTCAACTCAGGTATCTCAGCATTCTGAGGGCACTTTTAAAGACATTTGGGTTTTTTTTCTATCAGTTTCATGACTCTGGACCAGAGCTATGGCCAGAGAAATTTTCTGTCACACTTAGCTAGTCCTTGTACTGTCCCACTCAGCCCCACTCTGGCTGCGAAACTCTATGGAGGGCTTAATGCAGCGCTCTGGGCAATTAGGTGTTTGACAAATGCTTTTCACAGTGCCAAAGCTGAAGATCAGAGGCTGCAAACTTTTCCTGAAACAAAGGTCAAGTTATGAGAAAATTCACCTTTTTGAATGGGATGTCTGACCACCAGGCCCCTCTGTGCCCCACAGAGCAACATCATAAACATGAGCACAAGTCTAAGCATGCAGGGACTGGGGCCATGCATGGTACCACATTCTTCAAGGCAAAATGTCTCCACTGCACAGAGGAACAATGAGATCCTAAACTTAATGACCAAGTTGGGAAAATATTAACTGACATAAAGGATTAGGAACTCTCAAACTAGCACGAGCAAAGCCCCCATAGAGTTCAAGCCCAATAACAAATGTTTATTCAAAAACACTAATTAGCAAGCAAAATTCAGGTTCATGAAACAGAGTTCTTAAGAAAGTGAGGAAGGATGTAGAGGTCGGGGGGGTTGGCGGTTAGACAATTTCCTTAGTGAGAATGATGAAAGAATTGCTTGCTCAAGGGCAAATTTTATGGAAAAATCACGATCCAGTGCTAACAGAGGAGAAACCTTTCCAAAGAGTTAATGGAGCAGTTAGAGAAATTCAGCTTCAGTAAATCATGAGGACTCAGAGTATTGATCTGAACATTCTAGTGGATGAAAATATGGAGCTGAGCTGCTGACCCAACTATATAATAGAACAGCTCTTCAAAAGTGGCTGAAATTTTAGTTGCTGAGTTGATGCTGGAGTTTTGCCCAAGGAGTTCTCCCTCCTAAGCAGATTCTCTTAAATTCTGTACACTCTCCTGGAGGTTAGAAGGCTCACACGTTCAGTAACTCCCACAGCTGCACCTCTTATCTCCTTGATGATTCCCAAATCCTTAACTCCTCACCAACCTCTCCTCTGATCTCTAGGGTATTTCCAAGTCTTTCCAGGACAGTTCTCCTCAGGTGACTCAGAGTCACAGCTGATTAGACACTCTCCACAATAACCCCTTCAACACCACGGCCGGTGAAAACACAACAAAAAAGCAAGCAAGCTATAAAATCATCCAAATTGTATTCCCTTTCCCCTACCCTCAAAAACACGGACATACCTGTAATTCCTCTCACTTCCCCAGCTCCTCTACCAAACGTGTCAATAACGTTAGTATTTGACTTCAGGTAAATATTCAGCCTTTATCTGACTAGTTTTCCCATTTGGAGAATGTAAATAACAAAGGGTTGGTGAGAGAACTGAACAAGGCCACATGTATAAAGCACACAGAATGAGATAGCTATACATGAGCCATCATTTTTAACATCACTAGCATTATATGAAAGTATTTCTTCACTTTTTTTTTCTTTTTATAAACTCCACCAGCATCACCAGACTCATTAGGCTGCTCTCTGGAACCAGGCTTCACCTGACCTCTAGGATGGTACCATAAATATGAGTTCCTGAAGCTTCTCTGGATATGCGGCCAAACTCTTAGAGTATGGCTCAAAAGTAAGATAGTGCTCTGAGGGCAGAAATGAGATCTGGTTTGGACACTCTCCCCAAAATCATACTACAGGCCAGAGGCTTCCCTTCCAAGAGAAAACCAACTGAATTTAATGGTGCAGGATCTGAGGCATGGGGGACCGGAGAAGGGGACCGGCTCATGGTTAAGAGAGTACTATCTCATTAGTTCCTTGGCAGTTTGGAATACTCTAGAAGGGTACTTCAGAACCACTTTTTATAGCTTTATGAAGATGTCTGGCCAGTTGCATCTTGTGTGAAATAAGTAGGAACCTAGGTGCATTAAAAATTGATAGAGAATTGCATGAATAATAAATCTGTGGTGGTGTATAAAATGATCATACATTACCTCCAGGTTAGACAACGCATCCCTGAAATACTATGGGCTTTGTGACTTTACAGTCTTCAAGGGTGGCCTAAGGAAAACAGGAAAAAAAGAAATCAAATAAAACCCAGGCTGGGTGAAGGACATTTAGTTACACAAGCCATTTATGCTTATAAAGCAGTATGCCCGAGAGTCCTTCTCCACCCCTTCCTTTTCAGAGATTTGACACAAAGCTGAAACCTCTAAGCCTAAATTGCAGTTCAAACAAATATCTGGTACTGACCCATTCTCCAAGGATTGAGAAATCCCTGAGGATGCCATCAAAGCTGGTTTGGACCAGCTATCTTGGAATCATGCCTACTGGAGGAGATGTGGTCACAGGAATTGCAATGATCTGTTCTGGCCCATAGAAGGTCAGGTGGGAAAGAGCCAAGAACAAGCAGTGCTTACCAAACTCCCACCTCCACACCACCCTTATCCTTCCCTGAAAGCCTGCTTTTGGGGATGTCCAAAGAAAAGTACTGAAATCAATGTCCCATCTCCAGCATTATGAGATTATTTCAAAATATTTAGTAATTTCCCATATTTTCCTTCTTATCCTGCCTGTATCCAATACTTGGTTATCATGAGTAGACACACACACACACACACACACACACACACACACACACTTTGCAGGCACATTTTGGCATGCAAAGTTTTAGATATGTTGATTCAACAAGAGAAACAACAGAAAAGGGAGCATTTCCTAGCTAATTAAAGACAGGCAGAGCCTGATAGCACAGGTGATGCGATGAACATTTCCAAATCCACCTCCCCACAGTTTCTTTGGTGGGATTTTTTTTCTTTTTTGCCCTAAAGGAATTTCATGGTAAAAAAAAACTGTAGTCAGAAATCAAGCCTTTCTAACTAGGGCTACCTTGGGACTGTTTGTTCTCTGTAGTGTAGCTGTGTGTGGCATGACCCTGTTTCTGATTGTGCCTGTGAGAGTGTGTGTGGTGGGAGGAGGGGATGTTGTTATCAATGTGTGATCCAAGAGTCTGCTTTCAAAGCTAATCCCAGGGGTAAAATAAGATATGGATCTCATTTGATGAGACACTAAAATCTTCTGACCTATCTTATCTAACAGAATTCTGGTGCTTGTTATTCATTAAAAGATCTAGGGCAATAACTTTATTTAGTGCTTGGATTTTTTCCCCCTAGCTTGCTAGTAGAAAGTTGAAGACACTGATTTACAAACAGAGGTTTCTTAAGTACTATTTTTAGAACAATGCTACAGCAGATTTATGTGGTGGGGGGACCACAGTCACTTTTGAGCAAAGTAGCATTTCACTGCATAATAATGAAGTACTAATTGCTCTTTGTCATCACTTTTTATGCAAATTGCCCTCGAGCATTTGCCCGATATGCATTTTACATTTTAACAAAGAAAGTGGAGTCTTGACAAACAAGAATGCTATACTCAAGCAAAAATAAAAATATCAGCTGTAAAACAAACTGTTTAAGGTGCATTCTCTAAGGATATAAATTTTTTTCTATTGTATCATTCCCATTATTAGATCTATTGGACCAATAAGACGCTTTTGAATCTGAAATAATGGGTTATGTGTCAAGCAAAAAATAAGCTTGTGTGCGAAACCTGCATATTTTACTCTTCCTACAACTTAGCATGGAAGTTTGATGTGAAAATTATGTTCCCAGCAGAGTTTAAATAGACCAGGTCAAAATGGAGATTGTCAAAGAATCGAACTGTGTCAAAGCATTTATCACAGGCACAAGTCTCACTATTTTAGAGGCTTCCATTATCCTAACGGATTCCCATTTTCTTAATCAATATTATCGAAAATTTTAGAAAAAGTATGACTTGTATATCAAAAACACCTTCAGAATTTGAAACGCTTCTTAAGAGTATGTATATTCAAATTCCGGTCTGGATCCTCACTGGTCACTGTCAGAACTGGCACCAGAAAAGTGGAAGAGAAATATGATTCTTAACTTTTTAAGGGCCTTCAAATTCAAAACCCAAAATTCAAACCTGGTCATGGAGGTTACTATGAAGATATGTTTATCAAGTTATGAGAATAAAACATTTTATTTTGGCAGTCTTTTAGCTTGATCTATACCATTTAAATATTTAATCTTATGATAGGTGAACCTCCATTTGTACTCTTTCCTTGGGCCCTACAAAAGTTAGGGGCACATCTACCTATTAGAAGCCCCAATACACACTCCAATACACATACACACTTGCAGCTCCCAAGCATCACTGAAGTCTGTATATGCTCATTCTAAATATGAAATGAAATTTAAGGGCAGCTGACTTCTAAGGCCATCACTTCTGCTTTTCAATAAATTCACACTTGGACCAAGGATTTAGCTCAGTGGTTCTGCCACCTGCCTCGCAAGCACAAGGTCCTGAGTTCGATCCCTGATACCAAAAAATAAATAAATAAATAAATTCTCACTTCACAAATAGAAATACATAGTACTGTATGTGACAAGGTGCTGTTTAGAAAACAGTGGAAGATTTCTTCTCAAATACACTGATATGAACTGTGGCTATGTGTAAATGACCATGACATAGCATCATTCCCAAAGTGGAATAATTCCTTGGAATAATAATTATTGCACTGTAATGCCCGTTTAGTTCCAAACTTCGAAGTCATTTCAACCCTGAAATAATTAACCTATGACCCCTTCTTCTAGACTGGATTTAAAAAATATTATCCACCCACTTTCAAAGCTCCCAACACCATATCCAGAAAAGTATTTTCCTGAGGTCATTGAATCATTCAGGGGCAAGTGAAATCACAGAATTGTCACTCACAGTCCCAGATTGCCTCCATTAGACAGCCTGAGTATGAGATGAAATACTGGAAAACATGAGCTTCTGGGTTCAGGAAATGTACTGTGACGGGCATAATGAATTACTTATGCTGTGTAGTGTATGTATAAATCGTATTAAAGCATGCTGAATAGTACATTATCATGCTTCTATTTTGCATTACAAAAGTAACTAATGTAAGCTGCAAAGTGTACTTTAATCCATTATTCATTTCTAAAAGTAGTCAGATCACTATTCAAGTACCATAAAAGGCTACCCATACAATCCAATCTACTTTTTGATTTATAAAGATGAAACAGCAAGATTTTTAAATCAATTTTAAATTAGTCAAGTTGTATTTATCAAAATTTATATTAAATCTATATATTCCTAGTTCAGATGGAGGAATTCTGACAAATTATAAACTCCCTCCTCCAGTCCAGAATCAATATAATTCCCTTCATATGTGTGATTCTCTGATACTGTTTTTCCTCACTCTTAGAGTTTACATTGGGTCAAACTCTACTTTTGTTTCCCCTCTCATTCTATATAACCATTCTGATCTCCCATGTATCTACTTCAATGTGTTCAGTGCCTCTTCCATTTATATTTCCCCAGTGCAAGAGGTTGGAACATGCTTATCTGCCTGGAGCACCCTATAGTTTGTGCCCCTTCAAAGCCTTTCTACTCATGGCTCAAAAGCCAAAAGCTGTAAAAGAAAATCCTTTTACCAACTAGTACAAAAATAACATAAACACAAAATGCAAATGATAAACTAAGAGACTACTTACAACCTATGTCGCAAAGGGTCAATTTTTTAAATGTCTAAAGTTGAAAAACCTGAGAAAAATCCAACAACTTAATAGAAACTGAACAAAAGATATGAAAAAAATGCAGAGAAAGAAATACAAATGGACTGAAAACGTAAAAAGTATAACATTACTTATATAAAGAGCAATTAAAATTAAAGCTACAAAAAATTAAAGCTACATTATACCATTTCTTATGAAGTTATCCAAAAAATAAATTTTGATAATATAACTTTTGGCAAAGCTATGAGGAAATCACCTATGTATAATGGTGAGATTATGATTTAAAATAAATTTCATAAATGGAGATGATAGAAAAGGGATCTGTGAATAGGGGGAGATAGAAGGGAAAACAGGGACTTTGATTAATACAATAAAAAATTAATTATATAAATGATAATCCATATTCTAGGAATAGTACTCAATTGTATAAAAACAAATGGGGATGATCCCTGGTGAGTAATATGGAACGATCCTTAGACTTACAGAACAGGATATACTGTATGCTAACTTTTGCATAAAAGATAAGGGAGGGTGAATATACATATTTATAATTGCTTAAATTGGCATTAAAAAATTGAAAAGAAACAAAATATAAAAATAAAATTATCCTATTGGAGATAAAATGAACCAGGACATATACTTCTTAATGTAATACTTTTTAATCCTTTTGGTTTTGAATTATATGAACATATTACTCAAAACAACTTGAAATTAAAAATAGTTAGTGGTAATTATATCACCCTGATTTATTTTATGTCACTTAGCTCTGTCTAATGCGTTCCTGTTTTTTGTTTGGTTTTGTTTTTGTTTGTACTGGGGATCAAACTTGGGACCATGCACTTATGAGGAATGCAGCACCAGTGAGCTAAACCCCTAGCCATTTTCTTGTCTAATTAGGTGTTTCTTTGTTTCTCTTCTTGGACATCCTTTTTTTTTTTTTTTGGTACCGAGGATCAAACTCTAGTCCTTGCACTTGTGAGGCAGGCAGCAGAACCACTGAGCTAAAACCCCAGCCCCATGTTTCCTCTCTTCTTGAACAGAAGTCAGTAAATTGTTAGCCAAATCCAACACCCATCTTATTTTATAAATAAAGTTTTATTAGAACACAGCCATACCCATTTATTTATACATTTCTAAGGCTGCTTTATAGTAGCAAAGTTCAGTAGTTGTGACTGATAACCATAAGGCCCACAAAGTTTTAAAAAAATGTACTATATGGACTAAATTTACCAAAAAATATATGAAGACCCTTGCTCTTGAATATGAATTTCTTCCTAATAAAATGTAAGAATAGAAAGTTTATTGGGTCTCCTTTCTATTTCTTTCCACTCAGAATAATGTCTAGTGCACATATTGCTCAATTAAATCCTATCCCTGGTAGGGCTCCTGGGGAGAAAAAACTCAGAAGGGGAGACAGGTTTGCAGTGGGTTCATAGGTAGCGCTCCTGAG